GTGTTTGAGTGTTGTACATGAGAGATGATTTCTGAAACAGATCATGTAATGAGCTGCATCCCATGTGTTGCAAGCAAACCTAACTTCAGTTTGATCTCCTGTCAGTCACTGGTTCCATGTCCTGTATCAGCAGATGCTGGGGACCACCTGATATCTTCCTTAGTCCTCATAGCAGCTACACAATGGCTGTGAACAGACTGCAGATAGTATCAATGTGTTCAGACACCAAAGCACACAGGTTTTCTGGATATGCTTTTGCCCCTAACTTGATATATTAGTTACAAGTTAAGCTTTTTTTTTCCTCTTTGCCTCCTGACTTTGCAAAGGGATGAACTATCCCCAAGTCCTGTTACTCTCAGGGATGCATGAAAGCTGATTAATAACCATATAGACAGACTGTACTACATAACTTTGGAGGAGGGGAAAGTGGTACTTTACCATAGAAGTCAGCAGTGTCCTTTGCTGAGTAAAGACCCAGTCCAAAGCAGGACATAAGAACCTGCTGATTTTCAGTCAGGTGTCTAGATCTTATTAAAGTTAGATCTGTGTATCATAGCTACAGTTAAGTGCTAGCCTAAATATTTTTCAGAATAGAGAGAGCTCAAGCCTATTTTGTCATGTTTTTCTAATTTGAGATTTAAGGCATTATTCAGTCTGAGGAACGAGTGTGATCTCTAGTGTTAGAGTTATTACCCCAGTCATTATATGTGCAGTGTAGGTATCAGTCAACCCTTTGTTAACCTGAGACTTTTTATGAAAATAATGTTAGAAGACTGCAACTTTTAGTTATGCCAGTTGTTAATGGTAATGTAGAGTAAGTTCTCCTTCACCACAGATGTGACCAAAAAATACTCTTTGTGTGGCATTATCAGGGTGCCAAAAGAGACACAATGCCGAACAGCTCACTAGATGGACGCTGATGTCAAGTACATGCAAGGGTTCACTTCTTGGCCATGCTTTTCCACCAAAGAGAGACACACATTGCCTTCTCCTGCACAGTAGCTACAAGGGACATACATACTTGGGACTGCTTGGTGAATAAAAATATGTCCCTGAAGCAGTAACAGCCTACATAGCATTAGGATTTGGCATATGGCTTTCACATTTCATTTCTACTAAGTGAGCTGATTAGCACTGACCAGCTCCATCCATGGAAATAAACAGCTGCAAGATGTTGCTCAGTAGTAGACTTTGAAGCCTCTCTACATACACTTACCTTGTGCATACAAACCTTGAGCCCATTTGCTGGAAGCTGTGTAAAGCCTGTACTGGGTTCAGCACTGTGGGGTTGGGTGAAGGTGCCCATAAAGGATTTAGGTGCCCAAACTGCAGAGTAGAATTAGCAGTCCTGTCAGACTTCCTGTGCAGTACATAGGCACCTCCAAAAAGAGTCTGACACAGCCAGTGCAATCTGATTGCCCCCTGGAAATGTCCTTCAGGGCTGATGCAAAGCAATGGACCCTCTGACTTCTTTCAGTGCTAAATAGCTTTCACTCTTAAAATAATAATAATAAAGAAGGAACATTGCAGATACTACCATTCTCCTCCTGCTTTACAGAACTGGTTAAAAACCTGCACAGAAAGTGCAAGATCCAAGTTTGACTCCAGAGACAGTGAGGTAGCCCGCCAACTCACCTTCTCACCAGGTGAGGAGCTCTGTCCCTCTCCTCACTCCAACACTGGTTCCCACATAGCAGCAGTTCTGTGTGTATACAGAAATGTCCTGCAATTATCTTTGTTGATCCAGGAATATGGACTAGCTCCATGTCCTCCATGTGTGGAGCACCTCACCCCTAGCCTAGGTGGTGCCTTTTTTCTAAGTGCTGTAGCACGTATTTCCCAGAACAAACTTTTTGGGTTAAATCCATCAAGGAACTGAAGATCCATTAGGCTGAGACATAAACAAAACACTAAGCTGCGCTGATCATACGAGATGTGTATGGCACTCTCCACCAATTAGTCAGCTGTTGAATAGGGCTGTAGTGATGGCAACTTTGAATATAAGCCATTATGTTTTGCTGAAAGAATATTGCTAGCACTTAGAAAGTGTGATTATCAACAAAATGACTGAAAAATAATTGTGGTTTTGACAGTTAACATGGGTGCTTGTCCTTCACCAAGCATTTGACACTTATATCTTGACTCAGCATAGCGTTATCCTAGGCTTGCACTGTTAAAATGCTGTACTGTACACTGGTTCTCTGATAATGCTTGAGTCTTTGTGTGACAAGTTCAGGAAACTTCAGGAATGGATTTCTACGGATGTCTTCCTAAGGATGTCCTTTCACTTTTCACTGTGTTAGGCCAGGCTACATACTCATAACAGCACTGTCTGACCTTAAAATCTCTGATGCAGCTATTCCCTTCCCTCAGTGCTAGTATTTGACTCAGCAGTTCATTATTGGTCCCAGACTTGTACAAGCGTCATGTCCTTGTAACATTTTGGCTCAGTTATTGGAGAAGGGTGGAGAGGTTTTGGCTTCTTTGCCATTGTTTGGGCACGTTCAAGTTGATAAAGATCAGTTTTGCTGGGCAAGCTATCAATAGTTCACGTGCTAAAGCTTGAGAATATTGAGCAACTTTTCCAGACATTCCCTGAGATTCGGTCAGTTAAAAGATGATACGTAAAAACCTCAATTGCACATACAAAGGGGAAAGTTTCTTTGATGAAAGCCAGGAATTTAGATCAAAACACAGTTTATTTTCCCAAGGTTGACAGTGAAAGGATAAAAAAAATATGCTGTTTTATTAAGACCAGAAATCCATTTCTTGATCTTAAAAGACTGGGTTTTTGTGAGGGAGGGAAGCTGTGCTATAATGACAAGATCAGAGAATTCATTTATTTTTTTTCCTTTTGTGCGGAAACGCTTCATAGGAAGAGAAATGTAATAGCAAATTAATATAAAAGAAGCCTGGAATAGTATATAGTCAGTCAAATGTAAATGTTCCAGATCTTAATCTAAATCCTGTGAGCTTTAGCCCTATATGTGGTCCGTTTATTTCAGCAATATAATTCTTAATGTAAGCAGACTTTAGCCCCTACTCGCTAACGGGAATTTTCTGTTTCTGGCAAGAGAAGAGAAGTAGTGGACCCCAAATGGGAAAGCAGAGTACAACTGCACCATTATTGAAACGTTTACCTTGATGTTTGTGACCTTCTACATGCTTGAGGGATTAATAAACACACAGGCTATTTGACTTCAAGGTAATCTAGAGGGGATCCATTACTTAATCCATTTTCTAAAGGGAGTCTATTTTGGGCACTGCATTTTAATTCACCTATAATGGTGGCAAGCATAAGCTATCTTTTATTATGCTTCTTTATGACCCCTGTTGTGAAAGACTTTCAGACAGGCCAGAGCAGGGACAGTCCCTTTTGCTGGTGGGTGATTACAGCACCTGTCATAGCCCAGCCATAAGTATTCAAGGAAGTCCTGGAGATAGGGTCCAATTTCTTTAACAGTGTCTCAAAATATACATTCAAGAGGCTTCCTCCTGTCTTGAAATTTAAGACCCTAAATAGCCAGTGGAAAAAAGCATAGTCTTTGTAATCTCAGACTTTATGCTCGCCTGGTTTATTTTTATTTTGTAAGTGATTCTGTGTTGACTTTTTTTTTTTTTGCAAGCCTGTAACTTTTCAGACAGAAATATAAGTGACGACAGCTATTCTGCTGCAGCTTGGTAGTAATTTTTCAAGAAAGAGTTAAAGACGCATATGATGTAAGGAAGTGCTGTTCCAACTTCAGCTTTGGCCAACAGATGGTGAAACAAACATGATCAGCAGATGAGCAAGATGATAGCAGCAGGGAAAATATGAATAATTGTAAAGAAAACACAAATATTAAGTCCATTACTCTGAGAGGCCCTAATTCAGCAAAATATTCAAGCGTGAGTTTCAGATTCATTGACTTGCAATGCACTTGCTGGGTTAGCCTTAAACAGACACTACCTGATTTATGTCCTTAACATCAAACACATCAATTGACATAAAACATTGTCATTAACTTTCATGTAATTCTGCAAAAGCTGTTGCATAAAATGTTTAATGTTATTGTCAACAAAAAGCAGTTAGGTAGCAATATGTTCTGCCTGCCTAAATCTTTTGTCTCGAGAATACCAGAGCACCCTCCATGCCAGCAAACTCCTCCATAGTCTAGAGCTTAGGTTAGAAGATTTTACAGCCAGGTAACCTAAATATGCAGAAGTGGTCAGAATCAACTGATGTTCTAATGAATTTCTGAGTTCAGGGTGGAGTCTTGGCTCTGTTAAATTAACGCGTACTTTTTCCACAGACTTAATCTCAGTCAAGCTTTGGCCCTATACACACGTGCTCACACGTGCATATATCTATATACACAAATATATGAATAATACATTTTTGCAATGGTATTGAGAAGACCTTTTAAAGCAGATGTCTGATTATATAAATATAAATTACAAATATAACCAGACATCTGTTTAAAAAATTATAAATACATTCAGACATCTGTTTTAAGAATGCCTTTCTGATATTTTTGCAAACATAACTAAGCGACAGAAGCGATTCAGGGTGGGATGCGGTCATGACATGGATGGGGGATGAGGAGGGGCTGCCCAGACATTCAGCTGTTCTGCTTGCCCATGACCTTATGAAGTAAGTGGTGGCCCAAAAGCCCCTTCTCCAGCCCCCCCGCCCCCCGGGGTAACATGACAGAGCGTCTCATTCAGCAAGACCAGGCTGCCAAAATAAGACCCTGACACAGACAGCACCTTCTGTGAGGACATTACAAACAGCAGAAAACATCCCTGGTAGATTAAGTGTATTTGAATCTTCCTTTACACAGAGGAAATACTGCAAAGAGGTGTTAAATTGAGCAAGGTGATGCAGTAAGTTCATGACACAGCCAGAAGTACAGGGTGTATCTGTTGATGCTGAGCTCTCTGTTGTAGCCACGTGCATCCCTTACAAGGTCTTATGTCAGCAAGTGGTGGCCCTGCTAATGGTTTCCATGCTTCTTTGCAGATGTATTGTGAGAGGTTTATATGTATCCTGAGAATACTTGGAACCACACTCTTCGGGGTGTCCCTCCTGCTGGGAATCACCGCTGCTTACATTGTGGGCTACCAGTTCATCCAAACAGACAACTACTACTTCTCCTTTGGACTCTATGGTGCTATCCTGGCATCACATCTCATCATCCAAAGCCTGTTTGCCTTCCTAGAGCACAGGAAAATGAAGCGGTCACTAGAGACTCCAATCAAGCTGAACAAAACAGTTGCCCTTTGTATTGCTGCCTATCAAGAGGATCCTGACTACTTAAGAAAATGTTTACTTTCTGTGAAAAGATTGACCTACCCTGGAATTAAAGTTGTTATGGTCATTGATGGGAACTCAGAAGACGACGTTTACATGATGGACATTTTTACTGAAATCATGGGTAGGGACAAATCTGCCACTTATATCTGGAGTAATAACTTCCATGACAAAGGTCCGGGTGAGACAGAGGAGTCTCACAGAGAGAGCATGCAACATGTATCTCAGCTGGTCCTGTCCAACAAAAGTGTTTGCATCATGCAGAAATGGGGTGGAAAAAGAGAAGTAATGTACACAGCATTCAAAGCACTGGGGAGAAGCGTGGATTATGTACAGGTAGGTATTAGAGCGCCAGGTCAGTGCCAATTCAAACACACTTTGAAAGAAAGCAGCTTTTGTATAATTTATGCAGTATGTTAGAGGCCATCCTAGTCCCTGATGAACACAGTGCTCCTTTCAGTCTGTTTGGAAACAGCTTGACCGTTAAAAGCGTATTTTGCTACCTTTTAAAATGGTCAATCTGTCTGTGAATTTGTTACATCTGTGCACCAGCTACTGGAGAGATCTGAAATCCTTCCCCAGATTTTGGTGCAACCCCTCGTCCAAATGGTTTTGTTCAGACAAAGCCAGTGGCCTCCTGAAGACCCCATCTCTGCTCTTGTACGTCAAGATCTTGGGTTAGGTTTTCTTTTGTGAGATTGATAGCGGCCCCATATGCAAGCAGACAGACAGGTATTTGGAGGCACTAGGTAATATCTTGGAGCAGTGGTAAAAGAGATGGGGATATTTTAAAGGCTTCAAAGGCTGTGCTGAGTATTCAATAAAAGGGTCAATGTGCAGCCTTGAAGGAAATATTTCTTCAGCTAAAGCCTGAAGAAGCTTTTGCTTCATCGTTTAAAGCTGCATTACCTCACTGTGACTTGGCCTTTAAAACCCTTATGGCACTATTCACTTAAAAATGATTTAGGCTGGGTCCTCTCTCCCTGTTTCCAAAGCAGCAGAGACACATTTCTTTCCAGCTGCCTTGGATCCCGTGAAAGATTTTCTATGTTTTTGCCTTACACATGGAAGCACTCCTCGCTCCTGCAGACGACCCTGCTGACTGTGGGAAGGGGAAGGGGTCATGTGTGGAGGAAGGTGGGTGGGATCAGGGTCTCTGGCTGGACACTGAGGATTCTTCCTTATCGATTAAGGCCAGCAAAGCTCGTTTGACTAATCCCACTGAATATGAGATAATCTTCCTCATTAACCACCCTCAGCCCTTCCCACCTTTTCTCCTGACCTCAGAGATCCAGCGGCCTCCTCTGGTGGAGCAGCAGCTCCCTGTGAGATGCTCTCTGCTAGCTCAGGGCAGCTGCATGGCTGAGCCATATGTGTTTCTGGGGTCCGTGCCCAGATTTGTACTGCGGGTGTGTGTGTGCATGCTCTGCACAGCACAGCGTCCCCAGGCACAGTGTCCAAGGGACACAGAGAGGCTGCCAGTAGCTGCACAGAGAGCAGCAAGTCCTCCATGCATAGGAGGGGCAGAAACTGAGGAGTGCTGGGAACAGCTTTGTTATTGGAGCTGGGAGAGTAAGGCAAAGATTTAAAACCCATCCCCTACCACTTTCAAAATTGAAACTGATTTATTCTTTGAAAACAATGGGCTTAAGCTCTCTATTGTCTGCAGTTTGGTTCTGTGCTGTGAGGGACTATGATGGAATAAAAATGCTGGATTTCTTTATTAGCGTGGTTTTATAATCACTTCACACAGAAGTATCAGATTGCAGAGAGAGAAGGCAGAGAGGAAACAGATTCATTGCAAGTTTCCTTCCTCAGTCTAGCTCTTGCATTTGTTCAGGGAACCTGGAAAAAGTGTTTCTATTTCAACAGTCATAGCATAAACTGAGAAAATGGAAGATATATTTCTGGTCTTTCAGTCAATTAACACTCCTGACCTGACTCAGAAGTCCTAATGTATGTGTCAGGAACTGTCATCTGCTGTAAGCAGCCACCAAAGGCTGCAGTAATGACTGATGCCACAGTCACATCTGTATTAGAAATGCAACACCTCGGTGGCCATGGCTGCTACACAGTCATGATGCAATGCAGCTAAAAGGGACAGCTCTGTTTTATGAATGGATGAAGGCTGAGATATTTCAAATGGTTCTTTATGGGTATCCAGGGTGAATTACTTTAAACAGGCCTGACATTTTAAGGACTGAGCAATCTGCACCGATGATGAAGCAGTGTAAAGTGGACCAGTCGGCACCATTGCCCACCCTTGAAACTGTGGGCCTATGGTTCTTAAAAGACACCTTGGGGTTATGGACAGGCAATCATAAGCAGTCAGACCAATGCAGATAACAAGCTGTTGCTCATTAGTGATGTCTCATTAAATACCTGAAACTGCTCTGAAGGCTTATTTCCATCCTGGAGGAGGTTAGGAGGTTGCAAGCGGTCGGGTAGAGGAGTTAAGCTGATATATATTGTCTGTTCAGAGCTGGTCAGGGCAGCCAGGGTGCAATTCATCTTGGCTTGATGGAGGTACCTGTGTAGATAGTCCAGCGCAACCTGAACTTCTCAGAGCAGCTTGGATAAACTGCCACTGGTTATAACAAGTATCTGAACAGCTCACATAAAGTTGAGTGTCCCTTTCATGCAACTCTGTGACCTAAGGCAGTCATTTCTAGGTCACTCAGCCCTTAGGTGGAAAGATGGCAAATTGCTTCTTGGGCTGTGCTGGGCCACTCCTGGCTGGGTAGACCATGGTGTGTTTTATTTGGATTCCTAAGTATCTGTCTTTCTCTGTGCTTGTCCTCTTTTCATCTGCAAAAACCCATCCAGGTGGAAAGTGATGGCTTGTCAGGTTTGCCCCAGAAACCCAGACATGTCCACTGTGCTGGCATGCCCAGGACAAATGATGGTAGTTTGTAAATAAATCCAGTGTTTTCCAGATCCCTTATCTCATATTAGTGGTCTTGCTCATGGACAGGTCTTTCTGCTATAGATAAATACATCTGATGCGGTGGGGGCTGCTCAGCTGCAACAAGTGACAGGCACTGAAGGGAAAGAAAGCAGTAGGGCTGGGGAGAAAGCTGATCCCAGCCCACCACTCCTGGTCACAAGAAATCACTGCCTGAGCTCAGGTACTCAGCAAACTACAGATTCCCTTTGCAAAACACTCAGTAACTCGTCTGTCCAGGAAGACCCAGATAAAAATACAGGCACCCTTTCCCCTCTTTAGCAGAATTTTCTTGCTCCCTTTCTGTCACTGAGTGCTGTCACTGATGACAGCTTTCCACCAAAGCCGGAGAAACAACTTGGCCAGGTTACAAAGGCCAGGCTCCTTGGGATGAGTCCTTTGAGGAGAGGAGCTGCATGCATCAAGTTAGCAGGAGCTGAAGATGCTTGTGGCTTTTCTCCTGACAGACATATAAGAGCTTTCATCACCTTTCTCCTCTCGGCCTCCTCCAAGTGAGCATGGAGGGGAGTCCGTTGGCAGACACTCAGCTGCATCCCA